ATCACACCATGTGAGGTCTAATCACCACAGGATTTAAAATATTTCCTCTAATATTTCCTATGAACACCACAGTGACAATTGTAACACATCATCCAGGTTCAAATCACCAACACATTTTTATTGTTTATTCTCTTTCACTTTGTATAACTCTTTGCAAAAAAATTATAAAAATCTCTTAATTTAGAATAAGTCTAATAAAAAAGCTATATAAATGCCCCTATTTTAAATGTTTTTGGTATTTTCACAAGTTTATGTTTTCATTCTAAATCTATTTAATATATAGACCAATAAAAACTTCTTTATTTGACAAAAAAAAAAAAAAAAAAAAAAAAAGCATTCCCCAAAAATGCACTCTACATAGCAGCCAATCACCAAATAATTAATCATTCAAGGTTTCAAATGTATTTTTAAAAAACCTGAGCGAAGTTAGGCAGTATGAATAGTTAAAAATAAAGGTATTTATTTAAAACAAAAATGATATATATATATATATATATATATATATATATATATATATATATATATATATATATATATATATATATATATATATATATATATATATATATATATATATATATCGGTTTTTAATGCACGTTTATAACTCGCTCGAAATGGGTTAGAGGAAAAAATTTTGTGTGATTTGTTGTCTCGTTATATTCTTTGCGATGAAATAGGTTAAAGTACTAAATTAGGAAATGGTTCATTTAATGAATTTAAATTTAGTAAGACAGTCTACTAATATGCATATATATATATATATATATATATATATATATATATATATATATATATATATATATATATATAATTTTTTTTTAATTTAAAAATTGAACCCCCCCATGAGAAGATCCTGGCTACGCCACTGATCGTAGCAGCTAAAGGTTTGTGTTAGCGGTTTCTTTAGCTTTGTTGTTTGAGGTGTGTCGTGATTGGTCCAATGCAGAGACGTTCTGCTGATTGTCTGAAATAAATTACAGAAGATGGTAGGAACATGTCGGAGAAATTAGATTTAGTAAAAAGACTGGAACATCTTTAGAAACTTGTTTTGTTTGGTAGTTTTGTAGCTGAATTTACAGGCGAAAGCTTCGAGATTAGCATAGCACAATTTATTATTTGCATCAAACTGAAACAGGTCTACATTGAAGCAAAATAGGTTATTGAGATTTCATTTGATTTTACTCCGTATTCTGGTAATTCTTCGAAATGATATGTTTGTGCCTTCTCTTATTTAAGAAATATATTTGTCACGGTGTTTTGATATGTTTCATACTTTAATTTTAAAAAATTATGAAATAGACAACGGCTGTATTAATTAAAACGAATGGACGTATTATAAAGCTGTCATCCTTTTAAAACATGTAAGTATTTTTTGACTATGTGTGAGCGGCTGGAGTGTTTATCTGTTATTATAATTATTTGTAACTAAGAAGGCGAATGTCGCTTTTTGTGTTCCTTTTAGGATTGTTGTGGTTTTTAGTTAAGTAGTCCGCTATTATGGCGCTGATATGATTTTGATTTTACAATGGTTTGTAGCCTGGTTATTGTGTCTTGTTTATATTTTAATGTTATTATTTATGCAAACTTTGTTTCGGATTGTTGCTCCACTTTGCTTTATGTCCTGAATGTTACTTATTATTGTATTAGGGACTATTTTCTTGTGCGTAGCATTGGTTTCTTTGTTCGTAGTATTGGTTTCTTTGTTCGTGAATGTGGGGTGTCGACAGGGAGGGACATTCGGCTGGAATGTCGAGGCCTGTGTGTTGAAGAGTTTCTGTGTCACGTTTATGTGGTGTATGGTAACGTAGGGTTATTTTTATAGTGTTTTATTATGTTTTCCATATTTTGTATACAAAGTGACTATATACTAGATCTATTTAGTCTTGACTTTGAGAAGTTTCAATGTTTGTTTTATCCAGACCACGTGGTAGCACGATGGCCTGGGTTTAGTCATGTATTATTGTAGATTTTACTTTCATTTATGAGAGCCTCTTGTTTAGGCTGACAATTGTGTCAGCTTACTGCTTTGTGTATAACTTTTTTTACATTTTAAATTGATTTGTCTTATTTTTCCTCTTTCTAGGACGGTGGTCCGAAATTGGGTGTTTTGTTTCGTTGAGTTCTGTTAGTTTTGTATGTCTTGAGTGTTTTATTTTGTCTAGATCTAGATCCTAGTTTTTTTATAATAACTTTTGGTTCCATATTTTGCTAAATAAATTTTATATTATTTGTAAAAGTTTTTGTTTTATTTTAGTAGCTTATTATTTAGACTAAGGTTAGGTTATTAACCAGTCTGGGTTTAGCCGGACTTGCACTGACCGGACAGTAGTTAGATAAGCCTAGGGAAGGGTAGAATAGATTGTAAGGTATCCCCCCCTAGCAGGGCTTACATATGTACACAATGTACAATCTGCAGTTTTGTTTTTTATTATAGGTTTTGTCTTCAGATTGGAAAAATCAGACACTAATATATTGGTACTCATGTCTAAGTTTACCCATGTCCTTACTTTTCCTATGAGCTCCTGTTTCCCTTCCTGATGTTGCCCTAACCTTCCTCACAATACAGCCAACAGATACAATGATAATCACCACGCCACACATAGCACCAACACCAATCCCTACACCATCAGCCAGTCTATCTGTGTACACATAATATACACGTTGTACTTATATACAACAAGTTTCTGCCTCATATAACTAAAAATTGTGTTTGCGTTATATTCCGTATTAGTTTTGTATTAGTATTCGATTTGACACAAACCCTGACTGCGCCGTTTTAGGTTGTTTTTTTTTCAAACATCACAAATAATGTAATATTTATTATTAAAAATGGTTACTACATGGGTAGATATAAGCCAGCTAAAAGTATTTCTTATCAACTTAAATGCTGTGAAAAAAACACTCTTAATTTAATTCATTTAAGCGTATTTTTGTCGCGATTTTTTTGTTCTGAGTTGTCTGTAGGGTGATAGACCGTTCAACGATGGTCACATCAGGAATGATTCTTTTTTTTTGCTGTGTTTTTTCATGTGCATTTGTCGTAGCCGTGGTACAATATGATTTTTTTTGTATTGATTTCAAAAGAAAACATTTAACATTAAAAGCCTTATCTTCCAACAGTGTTAACTTACCTCTTCTAGAAGAGGTTAAGGGACTTATCTGTTGATTGCTTGAACATATTCCGTTACTTGTTTTACATTCAACTTCTGCAGATTTCATAACACCGCATTTAAGAATATTAGGCTGATATTTAAAAATTATATTGTTGCAATAAGGTTTGTGGAATTTAATTTTTAAAATTGAAACAGCAAAAAAGGAAAATATTACACCGCATTCATACGAATGTTGTGCATTAACTATCTACAATCAGCCTTTTACTGTGATAAGCAAGTGACCTTGTACAAAGACAATCGAACTTGATAGCAAATAACTGAACATTGTACGGTGGCCTTACCGTGCCCACAGAAATCTCCCGTCCTACCCCCCTCCCCCCCACACACACACAAACCGTGTAGCCTTAGCTTTCTCACAGAAATCTCCAGTCCTCCCCACCACACACCTCACACACAAACCGTGTAGCCTTACCCTGCTCACAGAAATCTCCCGTCCTCCCCACCACACAACTCACACACAAACCGTCCGTGTTGTTACACAATCTGTCCAGACATGTTGAGCTACATCGTCGTCTACAGTTCTCACCAAAATAAGTCGCCGGACAATCTGATCAGAATTTTAATTAGTTTAAATAAAGTTCTATAATTATTTCCACAGAAATTACTTTAAATAAGGTTCTATAATTATTTCCACAGAAAAAAAGCATTACTGGTCGTTTAAAAAGTAATTCAGATTATCCAAAAAAATTGAATTATGAATTTCAATGGCATGAGAAAATTAATTAACTATAAGTGTCATTTTACAGCAGCTTTCTCTATATTCTCTTTATTGTTGTAACACCTGAACACGCTAAACACGAGTTAAGTATTTTAAAATGTATTGCATTATAGTTTGATTATTATACTGTCAATAGCCATACAATGTTCACGAATTTAAAAAATTCTGACCATGCTCACAGTAGAGCCCATCCCTCCCCACCGGACAACTCCTGCACGTGCCGTCAACGTTGTTACACAGCTGACCTGTGCAGTTGGTGCTGCACCTTTGTGCACAATCTTCTCCGTAGTAAGTCTCGACACATTCTAAAGAGATGAGGTAATTATATTTTCAGTAATTAGATCTTGACATTATTTAGCATTTCCATACAATAAAATATTTATAATTGAGATTTAGTTAATTATAATTTAGTTATATTTTTTAGACGTCCTATCGTGCGATTATCCTTATTTAGATCACTTGATGAATTATTGCGCTTCATAATAATCCAGTAGTAAATATTAGTTTTCTGTGGAAAAGTGGAAAAACGTTGCAATATTCTCAATTTAACGACAATAGAATTTGCAATAACCTAGTACACTAATGAAACAGGAAAAATAAAATAAAATGCGAATCTTAAAAAAGAGTTTTAATAAGATGGCGTGAGCATTGTTTGAGCTGTACAACTGTGGTACCTCAGGGACAATGCAATGTGAAAAAAAATATAGAGACCATATTATCAATAGAGAAATTGATACGGAAATAAAATGTCTAATGAAGAGAAGTCTACAACGTGCTAGCAGAGTTAGTTCTAGCTGGCGGAGAAACAAATGACAGATGCGCTACAAAGTATTTGCAACACAATCTGGCAAACTGGAAAACGCTACGCATTATAGAAATGATCTCCTTTACCACTATCCTAAAAATACAACAATGTTTTTTTTTCTAATCACAGGAATATCAGCCTCATAAACCACACACATAATGCTCAGATAACGATAATATTAAACCGACGACTAAAGACACAAGCTGAGCAGATAACTTGACGCAGTTGTCTCAGATAAACCCGAACCTGCTTTGGACGTATTTATTAAACCACAGAGAGACACTTTTCAGATTGAACGTTGACAAATGAATTGGGAATCAAAATAAATCAAACCAATAAAATTGAGATGATATAGAAAATTATAAATATTATACAAAGACCAATTCCCAAGTGACTCTGTGACCGGATGGTGATTGGTCAGCATCATGTCCTGCTTAGTTAAACGTCAACTAAATTGGTAAATCAAGACACAAGATCGTCTAGTCGAGAGAAGACATTGTCGAAAGAAACGGTGCCAGAATAACGAAACTTAGATAGGGAAAAGAAGAAATTACAAGACAACTTTCGGGAATAGATAGTGCTGACACTGCGAGAGAATTATTGCGGATGTCGGAAGACAGAGTGGAATGGAGGTAGATGACGAAAAGGATAATAGTGCAGTTCCTTTAAACATGGACCACGGGATAAATGATCAATCATAAGTAAAAGATTATATTCTTCAGTTAAATTACTGATATCTAGTACTCACGCTGCGAGCAGCCTTCACATTGAAACCCGCTAGCACATCCAGACCAACATTGACCAGTGGCAACAAAACACGACTCACTCTTGTCCCGACAGTTGCACGTACTGCTGCACCCAATGCCGTAGGTCCCATTAGGGCAGCTGTCGTCTTAGTGTATCAAAGTCATAGTTTTAGCAACATGTTTGTTGTTTTTATATATAAAACTAGTAGCTACATCATTGTGCAACTTGAATTGAATTTTATTCATGTTGTATTTAAGATCAATAAAATGATAAAGATATATATAAAAATCTACCAAGCAGTAGAGAGCTAGACTGCTAACCCTAGCAGTAGAGAGCTAGACTGCTAACCCTAGCAGTAGAGAGCTAGACTGCTAACCCTAGCAGTAGAGAGCTAGACTGCTAACCCTAGCAGTAGAGAGCTAGACTGCTAACCCTAGCAGTAGAGAGCTAGACTGCTAACCCTAGCAGTAGAGAGCTAGACTGCTAACCCTAGCAGTAGAGAGCTAGACTGCTAACCCTAGCAGTAGAGAGCTAGACTGCTAACCCTAGCAGTAGAGAGCTAGACTGCTAACCCTAGCAGTAGAGAGCTAGACTGCTAACCCTAGCAGTAGAGAGCTAGACTGCTAACCCTAGCAGTAGAGAGCTAGACTGCTAACCCTAGCAGTAGAGAGCTAGACTGCTAACCCTAGCAGTAGAGAGCTAGACTGCTAACCCTAGCAGTAGAGAGCTAGACTGCTAACCCTAGCAGTAGAGAGCTAGACTGCTAACCCTAGCAGTAGAGAGCTAGACTGCTAACCCTAGCAGTAGAGAGCTAGACTGCTAACCCTAGCAGTAGAGAGCTAGACTGCTAAACCGAAAGTCTTGAGTTCGAGTCACAGGATCAGTCAGTAAAATGTCCCTGTGTCTATTAACCTCTTAGCTCTGATGAAAACAAAGGCGGCTGGTTATAGTACTGACCACACTATCCCTTCATCTGCAGATGTCTCCAATATCAATCCAACCGAAAACTTTAATCATTTTGATAATCGCTTTCAAATTGACTAAAAACTGTCTTAGACTGACCGCGTCCTCATAAAATTATACATGATTTAACTTGAGTAAATGGGATCAACCACCTAAAGCTACAATACTATCTTGATATCCAGCCAGGTGATAGAACTGGCAACATACCAGATTCTCTTAAATGTAATATTAATAGTTTTAAAATAGACTTGTTTGACCGCTCAGTTTTCACCTATTAAAGGGAAATAATTGTTTCAAAACATTCCATTTTTAATTTTCTGCGCTCTTTAACTATAACACGTATAGCGGAATAAGATGCCTCGCTAAGCTGTCATTTCTTCAAGTATGTTTATACATAATTAAAGGATTTGCAATATAGTCTTCATTTTATATAAAAGTGCACTTTGGAAAGTTATGACCTATGCGGCAGTTGAAGAAGAGTTCACGAGTTTTATTGACCTTGGCATGTGGAGAGAGAGCGATGCTGGAATAATGTGATCATGCTTCTGGGTATAATATAACAAATTTAACTTTGAAATATTAGGAGAACATAAAAAATAGACAACAGGAAGTGGTGGGCCACTGTCCTGGATACCCTGAAAGATAGGTCTTCACAGTGACCTTGACAATAACACTGATGAATACAGTTAGGTTGAATACTGACAAAAGTACCCAGGGCAGTTATATTGAGTACCCACATCAGTGGCATTATACTGGCTTTAAGTACCAAAAGCAGTGTTATTGAGTACTCACATCTTCAGCATTAAGTACCCACAGCAATGATACTGAGTCCCCACTTCTAAGGCTGAGTACCCACAGGAATGTTATCGTGTACCAACAGCCCCAGGGCTGAGTACCCACAGCTTCAGCATTCAGTAAAAAAAGCATTCAGTACAAATGGCTTCAACACTCAGTACCCACTGTTTTAGCACTGAGTACCCATAGCAGTGGCAATATGTAGTTACTGCATTGTTATTGGGTATCCTTATTAAGTATCAATTGAGTGCAACAGCAGTAGCACGTAGTACCAAAAGCAGAAACATTGGGTACCATCAACAATAGCAGTGAGTACCCACACCGGTGGCACTGATTACCCACAGCAGTGACACTAAGTACCCACAGCAGTGACACTAAGTACCCACAGCAGTGACACTAAGTACCCACAGCAGTGACACTAAGTACCCACAGCAGCTGCATTGAGCATGGACGAATATACAACGGCTGAACACCATTTAGGACAGTATTTTCTCACGTGATTTGTGTGTATAGCAATATAGGTCAAATGAGAAATATGCGTCTTTATTAGTTAACCTTGAATAGGAGTTCACGAAAATTAGCACAAACAATTTTATATACGTTTGTAACATAATTCGGGCATTAAGGGGTTAAAAATTGTTAAATATTAATTTAACAAATTGTGTTATCGAAGAATAGAAAATAATGTGTGGGTTAAGTTTTAGAAAAACGTAAAGTGCACGTGTTGCTAGTGTAGCTTTACGCATTGAAAATAAAAAAATATTTAATAAAATTTAACATGCACATACTTTAGAGCAAATTAAGTTAAAACAGTGCTGACAATGGCTGGAGCAAAGCCTAGCCAATACCGCTAGTTCTATCTACAATATTATTTATGTAGACTAAAACTTACAGCCATAAACTTCCACTTCACAGAGAGTCAAAACGTTGTCAGTGTCCTTTGCTGTAATTGTAATTGATGACACGGCCTCCGTGCATGTGGTTGTCAAGCTGTAAACCATTACGTCCGCACTTGGGTTGGTGTCTGTGTAGTTGAACAAGGTTACGTTCTGTGCGTTGTAACTCACCAGATTAAAACCCTGCAGGCGTTTGCATAAAACTGCAATTCAGATCAAATAGAATGTTCTGTATTATTCAGAGCCAGAGGCTAAGCGACCGCTCCCTGCGAACTTTCAACTTGGCGCCCCTCTCTCTCTCTCTCTCTCTCTCTCTTTCTATATATATATATATATATATATATATATATATATATATATATATATATATATATATATATATATATATATATATATATATATATATATATATATATATATATATATATATAATTTAAATTTGACCGTTTATAATTCAAAACTGCAGCTTAAAATAAGCTATTAATTTTTTTCTACCCCTAGAGTGGGCGTCCGGGGTGGCCTACCCCCCCCCCCCCCCCCCCAGCTACGCCTCTGACCCTAACCGCATCAGCTTTGCCAAAAACAATATAGGTACCCATCAGAGTTGGATAAACTGAAGAATTTTTTTACGAACTGAAGTCTATCAACCAAAATTGATTGTCCGACAACGCCCAAATAATGGCCTGTCGAGTCCTGTGAGTTTCCTGATTAAACTACTAAGGAAGTAGTTGCCCTGTGTTCACAATCGATTGTAGCAATAAATTTCTCCTCATGTAGTGGCTCTCTATATTGCTCCATGTAACATATTTACATTAATTTCTTGCACACATTAAAAAACTTACAGCGTTGTGATAAATTTATAAATTTACTAGCCGTCCCGGCCAGGCCCTGCTCTGGCTTCTGTGAAAAACCTTTCTGTTAAAGACCTTTACTTGTGTGGTTAGTAATCATCATAAACCCGGCATTGCCCACCCAAACCACAACCAACAAAAACCAAAACAACAAAACGCAAACATAACGCTAACACAATTACAAATACAAACGAAAACAAAAACCTAACAACAAAACAACCTCAAACACCAATACAAACACAAAGAAAAAACAAACAAAAAAGCAAACGAAAACAAAAACCTAACAACAAACCCAACCACAACTACAAACACCAATACCAACACAAAAAAAACAACGAAAAAGCAAACGAAAACAAACCAAATCCAAACGCAAAACCAACCAAAAACACAAATACAAACCCAAAGAAAAAAACAAAAACAAAAACGAAAAAAGAAAGAACAAAAACGAACCAAATCAAAACGCAACCACTAACACAAACCCACCTAAACACAAAGAAAACACTAACGCGAACATAAACGCCCGGGGCGGAATCACCTGTTTTAGCTTAATGAACGACTATAGTACCCCAACTTATTCATAGTCTTTTGCACTCACTTAAACGAACGCGACTGTTTCAATTTAATGAACAATTATAATACTCCAAGCTTATCCGTAAAATATCTACAACATTTGCACTTGATCAATCCCCGCTAATTATGTAATTATTTTTTTTCCCAACACTAAAACAAAGTAATAAAAAGTAAATTCTTTTCAACTAATGCAATGGTTTTATAAAGGGAAGTAATTGTATTTTCCTAATTTATCAAAGAGAAGTAAGTGTTATAGGACTAAATAAAGACATAATTAGAATTTTTGTAAAAGATTATATTTTTTTTAAACTTGTGTTTAATGAACATGCCGAAAATTATTACTTTCAGTTTGATAAATGAAAATTATTTCCCAAAACTTTCAATGTTAATTTTTTAACTCATAAATTTAGACCATAAGGACTTTAATTATCTAACACTTAAATCCATTGAAGTATGTCAACGACAAACAAACAAACTTATTTTTACATACAGAATTGAGCTTTATACATTAGATTTAAAATAAAAAAAATAAAAATCTGAAAAGAAGTTTTAAAAAAATAATGTTAAAATTCACAGTTAATGTGAAGTGATAAAACGCAGAGGCGTAGCGACCCTTCCCGGCGCCCGGGGACAATCTTTTCGATTTGCACCCCCCCCCCCCCCCTCGAGATTTCGATTTGCACCCCCCTCAACCTTTCAATTTATTTTTCCAACCCATTTTGGCGCCCCCTAAAGTCGGCGCCCGGAGATATACGTTCCCCCGCCCCCCCCCCCCTCGCTACACTACTGTTAAAACGATATAAAATGTGATATTTTCTTTACGGACAATTTACAATTTTGTTCTACAATATATCTATTGGACTTCTATATTAATTCCTGAATTTCTACAAAATTAACTTTATTCCTAAATAAAATGTGTATCTACTACCCAATTCGTTAATTCATTCTTACTGTCTCTGTTGTAAATGACGTATCTGTTGACATCACGTGGTTGTTTAAACAAGACAGTCCACGAGCTAGGGGGCGTGTTTTGTGTGTGTGTACACGAGTTTTCTCCGTGAAAGTCACTACTGGGATTTCCGTCCACAGCCCTTGAAGAATCATACAGGATCCCATCAAAGGTTAGGTCAGTGGACTGCACTGTAGGCTGTTTCAGTGCCACGTTACGTCCTATACAAATCGTGGTGTAAAATTAGCAAACTTATTGTTATTAAGACCGTGGTAAAACAACAAATTTAACATTTTGGAATAGAAAAAAAAATAGATAATGGCCAACTATGCATACAGACATACAGAGTTTCTTCCAGGCTTCACTTTTTTTACCGCCCCCCCCCCCCCCCTCCGAACGAAATGAAATTTATATAATTTATATAGAAAATATATACTTTTAACAGTGTCCGCCCCCCCCCCCCCGAAGAATGTCTACCCCCCCCCCCCCCGAAAATTTCAAGTGCCCCCCCCCCCCCGGAGAAAAAAGTCTGGAAGAAACACTGTATGCATAGAATTAGGTAATATGTGTACTTGTATTTTGAAAATTATAAAATGAATTTTTATTTTTACCGCCATCAATATAAACTGAGCACAGGTGAACATTTTCTTTAAAATCAAGATACACTTGAACTACGGTAACATTGAGGTTACATAAGATGTCGGTGGTCATCTCGTTGACAGGTAGCATGGCCTTGTCGAGGCAGGTGAAAGTCTTATTGTCGCTGTCGGTGAAGGTGATGTCTAAATACTTTAATGGGCCTTAATAATAAGGAAAATAAACAAATCATCAGTATTAGAAATATGAGTTATATTTACTACCGATCTACGTGTAATGACAATTTATGCCACGGTTGATTTTCAGCATCGATAAAAATTGTATAACAGATTAAATTATCCAGATTATTTATAATGCAGCCATGAAGTTAATTCACACATGATAAATGTTTGGATTAACATGTAGACTATTAGTGACTGTTTGCTTAAGAGGAGACACTTTGATTGATATATATGTAGTCATATTTTAAGATAGATTATCTTTTGCGTAAGTTTAAATATAGACTGATCAGTTTATAATGTAATTACCGTCTTTAAATCCCACAGTTCTTAACCACGTGACGTGGTAAGCAAATTTCCAAGTGATTGTGACGTTGTCTAGCAGGGTACATGTTGTGTCGTCACCATCAGAGATAGCACTGTCAGGTGGGGTGATGGTGGTGTCACTGCCAGTCAGGTCCTCTGTATATATATATATATATATATATATATATATATATATATATATATATATATATATATATATATATATGTGTGTGTGTGTGTGTGTGTGTGTGTGTGTGTGTGTGTGTATAGTATGTTCAGACAGGTTTTTTTAATATATATTTCTGTTAATATATGAAACAAATCCATGTTTAAAAATCTGCACATATTAGAGATCGAATCAAGTTAGTCGTTATTCTCAAGAGAACGAAGTGTGTCTACTTATGACCTTGCATGTTTATAGGATGGGAGGAAATCGTTAACTTAAAAATAGGGATGTCATTTATGGACGACAAAATAGATACATTTAATTAAAGCTACTCATTTTACGGGTAGTATATTTGTAATTTGAATCACTACAATATTTCTATGACACAATAATTTCACCTCACACATCGCCTGATGTGGAATTAAAACTCACGGTACTGACAGCTCTGTCCAAACCATCCCTGGGCACACACTGAGTCACTGATACAGCTGCCATTGACGTCACACATGTCATTTGTACAGTGACATTTGTACTGGCAGTTCGAGCCGTACCAGCTACTTGAACAAGCTAAAGACAAATAAACAGGGTAATTTATAAATCCGCAGCAAGCAAAAAACAAAGTAAAGTTCCCTTTTTAACCAGAGAATCTTTGAGGCAAGTGAAGTTGAATTCACCTGTTTCCGAGACCTCGGCATTTAAAGGGATGGTGTTATAAACTGGGTTCTATGTATCTCGCAGCTATGCAGTGGGGGAGGGTTTATACTAGATTCTACCATTAAGTTCCTCTCTAACCAATTCAGGATTTACCAGAGTTCTGACAAGCAAGACGACGTCAACGTTGACAAATGACTTGACATACGACGACTCGAACAAACGAAACTGAAACTTGACTACATTACGACTTCACCCTAAGACAACAAGAACAAACTACATAAACTTCTTCCCTTGGCAACAACGATACTACACTGAAACGTCACATATTTGCGTACCGCGTCACTCGTTCACTCGTTCAATATACGCTTGCGACAACATTCATTCGCACCAATGTTATGATTATCATATTGAAACATATTGCAAGCCGACTTTTATTTTCTCATCGTGAGTCAGGTACCCAATAGAGCTGAGTGAAATCAGGGACGTGCAGAGACTTGACTAATATCCACGCCTTTGTCTGTATTTAATTTTTCTTAAATTGTAGATTAACATTAACATTTTTATGTTTCTTGCATTTCATTAAAGCTGTTGTCAAAAAAAAAGTTAAAGTTTTGAAGTAATCTTTCACAATACACATGTGCTCAGTTTTAGTCTGCCTTTTAATACATTAGACACTGATTTATTTTAACTACTACACACACTACAATGCGATATACAAGCAGGGGCGGAACTACAGTGCCGCCAGACCCCGCAATGCGGGGGGGGGGGGGGGCACGCCATTTAGCGGCCCATAGCCGACCATAATAAATTTTTTATAGTTAAAAAAAATTTCTTGCATTTTTGACTTGACGGTAAACGCTTTTGTAAATAACAAACAGATATACTGCAGTAGTGATGTTATACAGTAGCTAACACATGCTGTTGCGTAAAAATATATATGCCTGAGCTGTAGTGTGAAAGATAGGCTAACGTTCAAAACACGTCCATGACTTATTTCCCTTTTTTAAATGGTTAAATAGCGGTGCTCATCAGCTCCATTTAATATATTTGTACTAAACAAATTAAAAAGCAATTACTTCTCTTAATTATATATTTTAAAAAATACATACTAAAGATTGACATAGTATCAAAAGTAAATATATTTAAACCAAACAATACAAATACAAATAAACCGGGAGTGTTCTCCCCTAAACTTTCTCGAATATTCTAATATAACACTACGGGGGGATGGCAACTTGGGATATAGACTTCCAGACATGATTTTTAATTCATTTTAAATACTCAATTTTTTTTTAAAATAGAATATAATCTCGTAGAAAAAAGAAATGCACACCAAGTGAACGCTAAAAAAAGGTGCATAATACTGCGCAATATTATTAGTACTTTATAAATTTATATGCCTTTTTTGAGAAATCGGAAATAGCGTAAAAAAGTACTTCCGGACAACGGAAATTACTCAAAATTTGAGAGAAGGTAGAGAATTAGATCTTTTACTTACATATAAAATTTCATTTATCTATCTGAAATAGTACTTAAGTTATAGGCTTTTGAAAAATTCAAAGTAGAAAAAGTACCACTTCCGTTTATCGGAAATCGCTCAAAAGTTGATAGGGATCTACGATTTTGATAAAATACTTATATATGAAATTTCATCAACCTAGCTGTAACGGTACTCAAGTTATCGTGTTTACAAACGGACACACACACACACACAGACATACGGACAAGATTGCAAAATTATGTTTTTCCGTATCAGTGAGATGTAAAACGTCGAGATTTGCAAAAATCTCGATTTCTTTTTTTTGCACGATTTCAAGACTTTCTCTATACTTCGTATATACGAGAAAGTAAAAAACATAAAAAATAAACATAACACGAGAAACCATTACACATACAAAGCTTTCACGCTTTATATTCTTTTGACCGGCTAAATATTAGAGAGTAAGCAGTATTACAACAAAAATATTGAATGAAAAAAAAAAATTCAAAACAGATTAATGCACTCACACATAAAATGTAATTTGATTGAATTGAAAAAAAAAACATTTTTTTCAAAACCAAGAAATGACTATCCAATGTTTGTATTCTGTGTTATATATATATATATATATATATATATATATATATATATATATATATATATATATATATATATATATATATATATATATATATATATATATATATATATATATATATATATACAGGGGGGCCCAGAAATTTGTTTTGCGGGGCGGCCCTTTTTTTCTAGTTCCGCCAATATATACAAGTACATGTTCCATCTTATTGAAGTTTTAGTTATTCTATGTAAGCTTATAGACTTATAGGCTTGTATATTATGTGTGTGTGTGTGTACGTGTGTGCAGTGGCGTGCAGAGGGGAGGGGACGTAGTGGGCCCAGGCCCCGGTCATCCACATCAAGGGGGCATCCAATGGGGTAAAAAAAAATTATTTTTTTTTTAGGAAAGTTAATAGTCTTCTTAGTTTGTCTACCAAGGCAGAATTATCAATTTGCCGAATTCACCAAAATCTGTATTTACAATCAACGAAAGTCATCGTACTGTCAGTGTCATAACACTTCAGTGAAAAAGGGGCATCGGTGAAGGGTAATGGTATAGTAGTCATTGATATTCCTCGAATAAATATATGCAGTCTTTCAATTAATAGAGTATCTAATACTTATTTATGTTTAGTGTAGGTAGGGGCATCTTTCGGAGAACATGCCCATAATCATTTTACACACTTGTGGTCATCCATAGAGTATTGAATCCCATGATTATAATTTATACACTGTAAGGGCACCTTTAATGTAATTTTGCTTATATTCATCATAATAGTTTTGAAGGGCATCCAAACAGTAATTATTCCCGCATTCATTTTATATATCGTCAGGGCATCTTTAAAGTAATTTACTTGTATTCACGTTTGTATTTATATAATTACAGCAATAATGCCCATATTCATTTTATATATTATCTGATGATATTTATTATGCTTATATTCATTATTGAATGTCTGAAGGGCATCCATAAAGTAATTATATGCCCATGTTCGTTTCATATATTATCAGGACATCTTTATTATGTTTCTATTCATCTCATGATGTTTGTAGGGCTTCCATACAATAATTATGCCCATATTAATTTTGATGGACGTAACGGCATTCGTAGAGTGATTAAGCACATAGCCTGTTGTTGTTTTTTTTTTTATTGTAATAATGTTCTTTATAATAGTCATGACCGTATGGATTTTTTTTTTAATTATTGTAGGGATTAAATACAAACTTTAAAGTGCGTACTGTTTTGATACACTGGGCTGAGTTCAATTCATTGTAAAGTTGTCCTGAAGTTTCACACGTCTTGATTACCGGCATTCACAGCCGCCCGGTAGTCCCGTCGAGAAACACATAAGCTGGCTGTCACTTGGTTCCCTTCCTCAATTTAGACACAAACCTCCTATTGTACTTGAATCTGGAGACTCTGTTTTTTTCCATCCGATAAGCATAAATTTAAATGCACAGTCTGCGTGATCCTTTACCTCACCCCACCAACTTTCACCCACCCCAAAGCACCTACTCATTATCTTAATTGGGGGCACATAATATAGACCCAGTTTTATTTCAACTAATAGTAGAGCCATCTGTAGAGTAATTGAGCCCAAATTGATGTAATGAAATGAGGGTGGGTTCAGGCCATGGTCAACATTAGTGGATTCCCCCCCCCCCCACCTGAACTGAACAGAAGGCGTTACCTATGTGTTAAATTTGGGAAAACACTTCCAAGTTGTAGGGAGGGTCTGACATAGCGAAGTGAATGGCTAGACACGGACTGATGTTTTAGAGTACCTAGAATCACATCTCCTTAAAGCATTGACCTTTTGACAGAGTGGTTTAGAGATTTTGAAAATGTGAAACATCTCTAGTTCAGGCACACTCTCGCCTGAATTAATTGCACTATAGGAATTCTCAGACAGGCCAAGAGAGAAGAAGCCTATAAATAAAGGCGTTACCGCTGTCCCGCACGGTTATACAAAACCGGATGAGACTCTATTGTAGGGTAAGGCATGCCCTCCCCCCCCCCCCCCCCCCCACCCGACATGTACCCCAACTGTCTCCGCGCCCAGAAGTTTCACCCATTAAAAAATTTAGTTATTCGTTCTTAAGGATTTAGCCATATTCAATGTTTTCATCTTGATAAGTACAATTTTTTAAAATGATTTACTATTTGTATTAGGCTTACTTTAATTTTTAATTGAGCTTTATATATATAGGCCTAATATACATATATATATATATGTATATATATATATATAAATATATATATATATATATATATATATATATATATATATATATATATATATATATATATATATATATATATATATATATATATATATATATATATATATATATATATTATATATATATATATATATATATATATATATATATATATATATATATATATATATATATATATATATATATATATATATATATATATATATATACATATATATATATATATATATATATATATATATACATATATATATATATATATACATATATATATATATATATATATATATATATATATATATATATATATATATATATATATATATATATATATATATATATATATATATATATATATATATATATATATATATATATATATATATATATATATATATATATATATATATATAGGGTAAGGTGGGGTAATTCCACACACGGGGTAATTCCACACACTATATACTGGATACTCTCTATTTTTAATGAGAGTAAAGTTTAATTAAAAGTTACTATTCCCTGTTTCTAAGAGGTCATTTCTTGTACTTTCTGATACTGTTAGAGAAGCGTTCACCTACAATCAGAGCAAGAATTTTAATTTTATATGCATCTATCTTCAAACATCCTTAGGTAAGTACAACCCCTGCACTTTTTTAAAAAATATTTTTTTGTCTTATTTTTAATTGTTGTCAATTATTTATTGATTACATGAAAGCTTAATCATTTTTGTTAATAGTCACAGTTAATGATGCTAGATTCAGCCTTTAATTTAGAACAGGAAAGCATATTTTTTTCAATAGTAGGTGTGGGGCAATTCCATACATATGGTGTGGGGCAATTCCATACACTATAGTTTGGAATGTCCCATGTTGCTTTTTATACACTTTAGAGGGTTTAGCTTTTATTTTAAACCATTTCAAATGGTTGTGGCTAATTCTGTAATTCACAACTCATGATTTAATCTTAAAAAATACTTGAATAGTACTAGATCTAGTACTATTCATTTTTTAAAAAGACTCTGCTATTAAAGTTAAGTAAAAATGCCACATACTTCTTTTATTTCTTTATCTATTATTATTTTTACTGTACCTATATTATTTATTATAATTTATGCAATATTTAGAGCTAAAAATCCCCATACACACATTACTAATTAGACTTTCTAACATTTTATTTTGTATTTATTTCAGAATGGTCCACAATTATAATCGAATAACTTTGGCCTATGACAGATGAGAGCAGAATTCAGGAGGAAGAAATTGAGACTTTCTCCTCACCCAGTGATGAAGACTGGTTGCCCCCATGCAAAATTGTTTCCAAGGGGAAAAATGTTTTTTACACATTTTTAAATACATGAATTTTTAAATTTTCATAATGTGTGTGGAATTGCCCCACTTGCCATGTTTTTGCAATAAAAGTGAAATATTTAAAAATTGTATTTTATTTTGTGAATTATCTTTATATCTGTTTGCTATCATATAAGTAATGCATGTCTAGTTTTACCCTCAATATTATATTGTGGTAGTGTTGATTTTAGATTTTTTACAAATTTTTTAGAAAAGTAGTGTATGGAATTACCCCGGGTTACCCTATATATATATGGGGTATCTTCCGCTTGAGTTTGCCCCGGGCATCTACATAGGTCTGCACGCCACTGCGTGTGTGTGTAACGTGCGTGTGTGTGATCGTGTGTGTGTGTGTGCGTGTACGTGTGTGATCGCGTGTTTGTGGGGGGGGGGTCTATATGCTGTGAAAAATCTTAAAGTATGTTTAAAAAGCTGGCAACTGTACCTGAGTAAACACAGGCTACTTGGATGTAGAGACAAACTACGTGAAAAACTCTGGTTGCTGACATGTCAAAGTCAAAGTCACATTCACAATAAGGAATTAAAGCAGGTTTATTCTTATTTGTATCACATGTAACACTATGGAAATTTACATAAATAAGTCTTCATCCATTTCATTCCAAAGTTGTTTTAAATACACATATGCTAAATAGTCTAAAAATAGAAACATGAAATACTACCTCAATACCTGGCCCGTCGTCTAAAGCAGGGATCTCCAAACTATCAAATTAGCAGTTCGGAGACCGACAACATAATCGAGGTCCAAATTTTTAAAAAATCATAACATGAATGTTGTTTTTACAAGCTTTTATTTAACTCACTTCCTCTGTCGTCAGTCTGTCTAGACCGAAACGCAGGAGTGAAAATTCGGACGGTTCTACTTGACCGACACGATTCACAGTTGACACGTGGGTCAAGACATGAAGACAATGCAATCTGAAACTAAATTTGACTTAATTGGATGCCTAATTAATTTTTTATGAATTAATTAAAATTTGGACCGAATTAGTAGGCATGTCTAGCCAACCACACCACACGCGTCATCACCTTCAATAACTGCGCCATCACGTTCAATGGCTGCGTTCAAAAACCATTGCGCGCCTACTGAACGTGATGTTCAGTAGGCGCGCAATGGTTTTTAGTCACGTAACTCTATTGTAAATAAAACATGTAAAGTACTGACAAAAAAAATTAATAAAAAACGTTTTAATAACAAGCTTTTATGTAATAATGCACTAAAAAGTAGAAAATAAATTATAGACTACTATTTAAATAACTATAAAGAAAAGCGTGGGTGTCTTCCTAAACATTAGTGTAGGTATCCAATAGATACTAAAGTGACCCACGCTTTTCTTTCTAGTTATTTAAATAGTAGTCTATAATTTATTTTCTACTTTTTAGTGCATTATTACATAAAAGCTTGTTATTAAAACGTTTTTTATGATTTTTTTTTTAAATAATTTTATTCAGTTATTATTTAATAACACTTTATTACCCCAACCATGAACACACGTATTGGTGGGAATGGTGAATTGTTTCTTGGATGCCAGAATAGCAAACATTTCTGGCATTAGTTTTGATGTCTCTAATAGTACCTTGAGATTATCATCGCACAAGTTTGTTCTCAAATAGTTCTTCACATAAAATATTTGTTCACACATGTATGTTGTTCCAAAATTTGAAAGTTATCTGGGCGCAAATGTTTTGACATTAGGAAAGTCTTCCTTGTGCAAAAAATTGTTAAAAACCGACCAGTCCTTCTTTTAAGCTTGTCCCTAAGGAGGTCATTTTCTCCAACTGTAGTTTATCTTGGCAGCTGGCCACATCTGTTTTGAAACGGTCTCACTTCTTCTTCCTTCGAAGCCAAGTCAGAAAAAGCTGTTGAATCTGCGGCTGGAGGTCTTTGATGATCTCTCATGCAAATGATGTGGGGGAACTCAACTGTTGATTCAGCCGTAAGACCTTGCACTGCTGAAAAAGCGTAATGTTGTTGGCCTGTACTTGTTCCAAAAACAAGACAAGCTTGAATCTGACGGCCGTTGGGTGTGTATGTAGATCAGAAACTAGATTTTACTCTCCTTGTAGATTTTGGTTCAGAACATTTTAATGATTAGTTATGGCCCATTTTCATACCCACTTCATCACATTGTGGCTGTGGCTTTCCTTTACTTTCCAGGAAGTCAACTATTTCCTTCCGTTACTTAAATACTCTGCCCAGAACTTTCTCACATCTAAGCCATCTTAATTATGTGTTATGTGGTAAATCTTGCGAATCTGTGTCTGAATCTTTCAACATGTCTCTGAACTGTCTATGGTTGAACCCATGTGACCTTATTAAATTCACCATCTTCACCACAGGATTCAGTACACTGCCAATGCCCATATATTTAGCAAACAACGCTAGCTGGTGAATAATACCGTGCAGGAACATTGGTTGTAGAATGTTTTTTTCTGATACGCTTGTCCAACCTAGCCTTTCTATATTCAACTCATGTACTTTCCTCCATCAACAGTCAGGTAATTGTGGTAAGCCTTGTCCAAGTTATAATCAGCAAATGTTTTTTCTAACTGATTGAATATAAAATCATCTCATGTAACAGCGTCATATATGTTATGTAGGAAGACAGCTCTTGTGTTATGTTCATGTCTTCATCCACACCTCTAATGAGCACAAGCAATTGAGAACATCCATTGCAATTGAAAAATAGCGAAACTTGCTTGCATTTTTCGCTATTTGAATCACTATGTTTTCACCCATCTCTGCAACGCGGCGGGCAATGGTATTTGCATACAAAGCTACTTTTTCAAAAAATTTCACATGTCTGGGCAAAGTTCCTCAGCCACCTCTAACAAACATTCCTTCACCACTTCACCATCTGTTAACGGTTTGCCACTTTTAGCAATTATGTTTTGCAATGTAGTGAGCGGTTGGAAAACAACGCACTACTGTGCGCCTCTATTTGAATTCGATAAAAACATAACATCCACGGAAGCGGCGGATGATCTTGGCAGGATACACGCACATTTCCTAATTTTATTCCGTAGACAAAAAGATCTCCACGGGCCGGATGATAGGGCCTTACGGGCCATAGTTTGGAGAACCCTGGTCTAAAGTATAACATTTCTCTGGAATGTTTATAAATGGTTTTTTAGAATAAGCATGCTTGGCTTGCTTTGTTTTTTACATCCGGGTTTTAAAGTTAGGTGAACTTAATAAACTAAGTAAGGCGTTGCCGGCGTTTAATTTATAGGTGTGTATAACTAATTGCACCACGATCATTGAAACTTTTAATTACTCTTTTGAGTAGTCGCTATTACCTCAATAGATTGTATATGCATTAAATTACTGCATTAATTTGTGTGCTAGGTAAATGAACATGTAGTGTCTTCTAGTGGTGTAGTTGAGAATAACACAAAGGTGTAACCATACCTATTAGATGAACTACTCCAGTCGAATAACTAGGGGTGAGCTATTTTTAGTAGCTCCATTACATCATACGTCACTCACTGACTATTTAATACTATACTGTAAAAACAAAGCTTATTTTCGACTGTTAGATAAGCAAAGAACCACAACACCTTTCTATTCTTGCAGAGGGAAACTGGATGTGGAAATGAGAGCACATTCAGAGTCGAGAATTCTACAGAAAACCGCGGCGTTGACTTGTTAGCTCTCTTCGAGATACCAAAAATTCTAGGTTTTAACCAATTGATATCTCTAGTTTGACCGAATGGACAGCTTAACATCTGTCAGTCGCGGGCTTCTAACCCTTTTCGTTTTGTTTTTTCTTTTGTCTCTCCCTCTTTCTCTTACTCTCCCTTACTCTCTCTCTCTCTCTCTCTCTCTCTCGTTATGAAATAATATGAAATACTACAACGTAAGGTTCGTTTCAGATATTATAGTCTGAATTTATTATACATAAAAATTTGTTTTATTTGTCCACAAGTACTTTCTTAGATATTACTTCCAATTTGCAACAAAATGTGAAAAATTAATCACTCCCTATATGGTACGAATATCTACAAAATACACATCTACAAAATACATCCTACTCTCTACCTTTAGAAAGTACACAGTTAGCCCTTATTTACAGCAGCATTCGAAAGTAATTTTGATACAATCATATCAAATACAATTGTATTTTTAAAATCTTAACTATGCGTCATAATGTCTATGAAATACCGGAGTTTGTTGCAGTTCTATACTTTCTAAATCATAAACCATTAAGAAGTATGCAAGCGCGATTAGTACACTGATGCATACATTGTAGAACGATAAGATGTTGTGAATTAACACAAAATCCTCTAGACCTTAGATCGCAATACCCTGACCTTACACCTACACATTAGACCACGTATCTACACGCACACATATGATCACTACACGCACACATATGATCACTACACCCACACATATGATCACTGCACCCACACATATGATTATTACACCCACACATATGATCACTACACCCACACATACGATCACTACACCCACACACTACACCCACACATATGATCACTACACCCACACATTTGATTACAACACCTACATATATGATCACTACACCCAAACACTATACCCACACATACGATCACTACACCCACACACTACACCCACACATATGATCACTACACCCACACATTTGATCACAACACCCACACATATGATCACTACACCCACACCCACACATATATGATCACAACACCTACATAAATGATTACAACACCCACACATTTGATCACTACACCCAAACATTTGATCACTACACTCACATATATGATCACTAGACCCACACACTCCAAAAACACATATGATCTCTACACCCACATATACGATCACTACACCCACACACTTCACCCACACATATGATCACTACACCTGCATATATGATCACATTATATAGCCAGGCGCGATCCAAACACTGGCCCCTACACATCCTACGCAAGGAAAAACTCTATGGGGCACCCGCTGATCTTGAGACCACAGTTTAGTTAATACACGACGTTTTGCTTGTCATATACTTAATGAAGAACGAAGAAGAATCAAATAAACCACTCATATGATTCACAATGATTTATGCCCAAGTGAACAACCCATGTTTTTGAAGAATTTTCTATTAATTACATTAAATAGCTAAAGAAGAATTTAATATTATCAGCTTCTTAATTTGAAATGATATTTTAATTTTTTTCTTCTTTGTTGCTATTCGTGGAGGTTAAAGTTGTCTCATTTTTCTTTACAACCAAAGATGATAAAACTGTAAAGTATTTTGATGGTGCAATTCATAAATTCCAAGTTTTGTTTGCTCTTGTAGTTCATGAATTATTTGGGGTCAAAAGAGAGAGAGAGAGAGAGAGAGAGAGAGAGAGCAACCGATCAAATACTATTTTCTATTTAAGACTCAATGAAATTATAAGAGAGAGAGAGAGAGAGAGAGAGAGAGAGAGAGAGAGAGAGATTTAGTTTGATACATTTTCTAGACGAAATAATAATTTCACAATAAACTTCTATTTCTTATCAGTGTCATATTAAAATATTGTGCTGTCTTTATACATGCATATTCATCCATACTTATGCAATCTTAAACTTATACGTTATCAATTAACGTCGTGAATAGAAATGGTTTCGTAAGTCGCTGCTAGGGTTTCATCTACACCCAAATTGTCGTAGCAGCTAAGGTTTGTGCTAGCGTTTCCTGTAGCTTTGTTGTGTGAGGTTTGTGATGATTGGCCCGATGCAGAGACGTCCTGATGATTGTCTGAAATAAAGTACAGAAAAAAGTAGGAAAATGTTGGAGAAATTAGCTTTTGTGATAGGACTGGAACATCTTTAACCACTAGTTTTCTGTGACAATGATGTGGTTAGCTGGGTTTAAATGCGAAACCTTCGAGATTAGCATAGCATAACGTCATTTATTATTTACATCAAACTGATAATGCCAAGTAATATAATGATAGTTTGATTTTACTACTAAATATGGTATCGAACAGAACTTTCTTTACTACCAGCGCTGGTATAAACAGTATTAAAACCTAAAATATCCTGAATATTTGTTAATTCTTCGAAAGGATTTTTGCGTCTCTTTTTCAGAAATAGATGTGTCATTGTGTTTTAAAATTAATTGGTTTATTTAATTACATTTTTCGAAATAGACAAGGGCTGTATTCATTTGACAAACATTAAAGAATCGCTCAGACTATCGTGTTTTTTTTAAATATGTAAGCTTTTTAAAAATATGTACATCTTTTTAAATATGCATTTTTTTTAAAATTACATAATCTAACTTAAAACATGAAAAATCAGACACCTAAATTTCCTACACATGTCTAAGTTTACCCATGTCTAAGTTTACACATGTCTAAGTTTACACATGTCTAAGTTTACACATGTCTAAGTTTACACATGTCTAAGTTTACACATGTCTAAGTTTACACATGTCTAAGTTTACCCATGTCCTTACTTTTCCTATGAGCTCTTGTTTCCCTTCCTGATGTAGCCCTGACCTTCCTCACAATACAGCCAACAGATACAATGATAATCACCACGCCACACATAGCGCCAACACCAATCCCTACACCATCAGCCAGTCTATCTGTGTACACAAAACGTACACGTTGTACTTACTTACATACAACATGTTGCTAACACATATAACTAAAAATTGTTATATTCTGTATTAGATTTGGAACAAACCCTGACTGCACCATTTTAGTTTATCGACTTTTTTGTTCGAACATCACAAATACATGTACTATTTATTATTTAACCTGGTTGCAAAATGAGTAGCATTTATTTTAAACTTAACTGATGTTAAAGAAAACGTTCTTTGTTGCATACAATAAAGCGTATTTTTTTCTCGTTTTAATTTCTCTGGTTGGTATGTAGAGTGATATATCGTTTTAACAATGATCACCCCTGGAATGAGATTCTTATTTCTTTACGATCTGTGTCTTTTCACGTATAAATGACTTATCCATAGTACTGTATAATTTTTCATTGATTTAAAAAAAAATTATATTTAAAATTGTAAGCCTTATCTTTCTACTGTGTTCAACTTACCGCTCACAGAAGAGGTTAGGGGACTTAACTGTTGATTCGTTGAACATATTCCGTTACTTGTTTTACATTCAACGTCTGCAGAGTTCATAACAACACATAAAAAATAGTATGCTGCTTTTTTAATAACATTATTGCAATAACAAATGTGGAATATAATTTTAAAATTAAAACAGCCAAAAAGATAAATATTACACACATTCATGCGAACATCGTGCATTAACTATCTACAAGCAGCCTTCTATGGTGGTAAGCAAGTGACCTTGTACAAAGTCTATCGAACTTGATATCAAACAAGTGAACAATGTACATTAGCCCTACCTTTCTCACAAAAATCTCCCGTCCTCCCCCCTCCCAACACACACACAATTAACACACAAATCGTGTAGCCTTACTTTGCTCACAGAAATCTCCCGTCCTCCCCCCCCCCACATACACAACTCACACACAAACCGTGTAGCCTTACCTTGCTCACAGAAATCTCTCCCCCCCCCCCACACACAACTCACACACAAACCGTGTAGCCTTACCTTGCTCACAGAAAGCTCCCGTCCTCCCCCCCCCCACACACCTCACACACAAACCGTGTAGCCTTACCTTGCTCACAAAAATCTCCCCCCCCCCACACACACACACACAGCTCACACATAAACCGTGTAGTCTTACCTTTCTCACAGAAATCTCCCGTCCTCCCCACCACACAACTCACACACAAACCGTGCAGCCTTACCTTTCTCACAGAAATCTCCCGTCCTCCCCACACACACCTCACACACAAACCGTGAAGCCCTACCTTGCTCACAGAAATCTCCCGTCCTCCCCACCACACAACTCACACACATACCGTGTAGCCTTACCTTTCTCACAGAAATCTCCCGTCCTCCCCACCACACAACTCACACACAAACCGTCCGTGTTGTTACACAATCTGTCCAGACATGTTGAGCTACATCGTCGTCTACAGTTCTCACCAAAATATGTCGCCGCACATTCTGATGAGCGTTACACAATATGCTTTTATATCGAAACTTTGCTATTGTTGAAAATGTATATATATGTATATATGTGTATATATATATATATATATATATATATATATATATATATATATATATATATATATATATATATATATATATATATATATATATATATATATATATATATATATATAATTACACATTAATTACACATTTTAGTTAACTGTTACTTAAGATTCAAAAAGTAAACTAAATAAAACACTAATAATTTTTTTATTACAACTGACCTAGATCACACATAGCACCTGTGTAACCAGCAACACACGCCAAACATTGGCCCGTTACACTATTACACAGGTTGTTAAGGCAGTTTGGTGGACACGTCATGTTGCAGTTAGCGCCGTACCTGTGTTCTTTACACTCTGGGGTTTAAAAATAGAAATTTGCAGGAAAACCTAAATAATATTTTCGTATACAGATATCCTGTTTACATTTTTTAACGTCATGAGCAAAATAATTGATAATGTAAATATTACAACAGCTTTCTCAGTATCCACTCTATTTTTTGTACCTGATTGATAGGACAAACACAATTTGGGTATTCATAATGTATTGCATTTTATAGTTTGTTTTAAAAAAGTCGCCAATGAATATTTAAAATTAAAGTTATTTCTTACCTTGTTCGCAGTAGGGTCCATCTTTCCCCACAGGACAACTCCTGCATGTGCCGTCAACGTTGTTACACAGCTGACCTGGGCAGTTGGTGCTGCACCTTTGTGCACAGTCTTCTCCGTAGTAAGTCTCCGCACATGCTGGGTGGAACAGAGACTAATTATTTAGGAAATATAATCTGATCATGCGTTTAAACTGAGATCTATTTAATTGAGAAGCATTATGTTGTTAGATAATATAATTTGATTTTATTTGACGTAATTTGTATGCCACTCTTCTATTGGTGACTTTATCTATCTCGAAATAGCGTATTGGTGATTCTTGTCTGATTGGGTAATGGAGAGAAATCTGCTCTATGTGGAGAGTTGTAAAATAGTATGTAGGTAGAGAACAATTTTTGTTTTCAGACAGACTGTTAACCACAAATGTATTTAAAGACGTTAATTAATTTATTGATTTATTCATTGGTAGATTGACCACATTAATTTTAAAAGTTTAGAAAAACTACTTTACTTTGATTGACGTCACATGATTTAATTATTTTTTAGTACAATAAATGGCGGCTCCAATACAAGATTTCGTATCTTATTCAGATCTTTAACGCGTTCTTAAGCTAACTTTCTGACGGCTATAACTTTAACAATACGTCCGTTTGCTGTTTTTATTACGTTCCAATACTTATATCAATTTTCAACTGTCTTTTTCATTTAGTTTTACCATAAATTTCTCTAGTTCTACAAACTGTCCAAGAAAGTTATTTATAGATCTAGATCTAGAATCTAGGTCAAACCAAAAATTTATTAGCTAAAAATACAATCCAAAAAAACAAAAACTAGACTTAAGCAGACCAGTCGTAGATCTAGAATATAGATAATTCTATCTGGACTTAGATAATAATGAGTTTCTATATACTAAACTACTTTAGACCTTTATTATTTTATATAAATCTTTGTTTGTTTAGCTATGGAATATGCTAATTTGGAAATGCTAGATCTAGGACCTATTTGCGTAACTTAAGATTCATGCGCGGCTTCTATACCGATAATTTTGCAAAATTCTAGATCTAGCTCTATCTAGATATAGTCCTACTAAACTATTTCAGGCCTTTATATTTTACTTTATATAAATCTTTGTTTGTTTAGCTATGGCATAGCCTAATTTGGGATAATATTAAATTTGAAGTGCTCGATCTAGGGCCTATTTGCGTAACTTAAGTTTCATACAAGGATTCTATAACGCTAAAGTTGCTTATAATTGACCTTCCAAATAGGTGAGTTGATAGTGAAATCGCTAACCGTGTGTGTGTGGTACGGGTTCGAAACACATCTTGTAATTATTAATTTAATTTTTTTTAAATAGATGTGAATGATAAAGTTGTCTATCGGGACTTGGCAAGACACGGGGCAGGTGAAGTAGAGTTTACCTGTTTCTGTGTTCTTGGCATATGAAGGGATAGTCAGCATATGAAAGAGTAATGTGGTCAGACCTATGCTCAGCCTATGTTGGTGTCAGTGTTTTTTCCATACTTTTTTCTCCGGGGGGGGGGGGGGCGGTAGAATTTCTTCGTGTGGGGGAGGTTGGCGGAGGCTTTCACCTCCCTCCCCCCGAGATGTCTGGAAGAAACTCTATTCTGTGTTTTCAAACACAAGAAACATGTCTAAGTTGGGGGGACACTGGGCGGGTGAAGTAGAGTTGACCTGTTTTTTTGTGATCTCAGCATATAAAGGGATAGTATTGTCAGACCCATGCTCAGCCGAAATAGGTGTTTTTGAAAGACAAAAACGTCTGAGGTGTGACGTCTATTTGAATGTGGGGTCTGTTTTTTTTTTTGTGACGATAAGTGACAGACATGATGTTTTTATGGATGACCCCCGAAACCCACAGTTATCCAAGGGATGACGGGTAGTCTAGTTCTTATATAACAGTAAGGGAGATAGCACTTTCTTTCTTTGCAATCGGGCTATAGAAATGTTTTTTAAATAGAATAAAATCGATGAGAGGAGAAAATAAAAATATGTGCATAATACAGAGAAAAAAAGATAACTTTTTAGCGCAATTTCCATACTGGCAATTGCCTTTAATAACTCGTCATTTCTGGATGGATGTATGGATGTGTGGATGTGTGTCCGCAGTTTAAGTCGTATCTCCTCCTCAACGAAGCAATATCGAGGACTAGTTCCAAAGCAAATATGTTAAGCAAGTTCCAAGGATGATTGTGGGTCAAAAGAATTCACAGAATTCCTTCCTGGATTTCCCGGAAAAGCCAAAAAACCTCGAAAAAATGCAGTTTTTTGTCCATATCTCGGCAACCAGACCACTTAGCGACTTGAAACATTTACCAATCGATTCCTGCCATAATTTAGAACAATATTGCCGAAGAAAGTTTTCAAAAATATCCTTTCGTTCGGTCACAATTTTTTTTAAAAAAATTACATAAACACCTACAAACCGATCGTTCTCCTAGCTTGAACGCACCCCATATCTATTTTTAGATAACATAAGGAAATTGCGCTTAAATTGTCACTAGACTTTTTATTATCTTGTTTTAAATAAAGGAAACATTGATTTTTAAAATTTAAACAACTAGGCCTACTTAAGTATTATATTATGTCACAACGTATTGTAATTGAGTAATGACCTACTTAAAAAGTTAGAAACAAACAGGTATGTAGAAGTGACATGTTTGAGAAGTTGAAAAAAAGCGTAAATTACTACTTCCGATCATAGGAAATCAAAATTTTAGAATATCAAGAAAATAAGATATTATATTTATATATTGAACACCATCCACCTAACTGAGACTGTAATTTTGTAATCGCTTTTTTTACAAACCAAAAACATAATAAAGTACCACTTCCGGATATAAGAGGTCACTCAAAATTTGAGAGCAATCCAAGAATAAGATATATTAATACTACTAAATATAACATACTTATATTTGTTTAGCTAACTGAAATAATACTTAAGTTATCGTCTCTACTCTGTATACTAGAGAACGAAATAGGAAAATTCCCTAGGAAACCATGTGAAAATCACTATTGCCGGCAAAACATTCACTAACTTGCATTTGTGGACTAAAAATGGCTTGGAAAGAACAGAAGGAAAACTAGATAACATTGTAAGACATTGTAAGACATTGACAAAAAATCAAAAAACATTTGATTTGACAGAAGAAGAAACACCGAAACATGCTTGACTTATTTATTACTCACGCTGAGAGCAGCCTTCACTTTGATACCCAATAGCACATCCAGACCAACATTGACCAGTGGCAACAAAACACGACTCACTCTCGTCCCGACAGTTGCACGTACTGCTGCACCCAATGCTGTAGGTCCCCTTAGGGCAGCTGTCGTCTGAAGGTGTTACAGTTACGGCTTTTAAATCACCAGTATGATCATTAACAATTATTTTAATTTAAAAAAGGTGTTGCTTACAGCCATAAACTTCCACTTCACAGAGAGTCAAAATGTTGTCAACATCCTTTGCTATGATTGTAATTGAGGCCACGGCCTTAGTCCCTGTAGTTGTCACGTTGTAGATCATCACGGTGTCACTTGGGTTGGTGTCTGTGTAGTTGAATAGGGCTATGTGCTGGGCGTTGTAGCTCACAAGATTGAAACCCTTCAGGCGTTTGGTTATAGTTAAAACTAAAATAAAATAAACAGTATATTGCAACATTCAATAAATAGGAGGTATTTATTGCAATGTTTCTTACACGCATCTCGTAAAACATCCAATTATTGGTATTTCTATTATATAATTACAAAAAACATTTTATGTATTCGACTTATTAAATAAAGTAATAATTTTATTTTTTAAATGAAGGGTCTGGCATTAGAAATAGAATGATTTGCATACAAACGAAATATTACTATTATGTAGCCTGCCAGCAACTAAGCGTGTGTGATTCTAGAGAAACTTTCTTCTTCATTCTTAATATAACCAAGAAAGTAAAAGAACAATTACAGAAGGTGGAAGATGGTAACAGGTGGGGAACATCTTCGAGAATACAAGCCCAGATAAAATGAATAAGAATATCAGCAAGCAAAAGAAATATATAAATGGGATTGATTGCATCAGAATATGTATGATATAACAATTCTACAAAGCTTGCTTGATTTGATTAAATGAGCAGCAGGTATGTGAAAAGAACATGGAAACTTTAAAACTGCAAGCGAATCTACCATTCAGGGATAAAATAAGATGAGCGAGTAGAGAAAAATGTGTGGGTGTACGTGCGCGCTCATTTGGGGAGGGGAGGGGTGAATAGAAGATTACAACCCAAATGCCAAATATAAAGGGAAAAAATATCTAACAAGAATGACAATCAATGCTTCAATAATAATGTCCATATCAGATTCAATTAACTGTCTCCTATGATCTGATACGAGATTTAGAGCTGGGTTTTGGCACTAGTAGGTAAATATTTTGATACTTTGTTTTCGAGAAAAACATTGAAGGCTAAAAGTTCTTGGAGGATCCTATTTATGAAAATATAATATTGCCGTTTTCAATTGCTCGAAAGATGAAAGAAATCATCTTATGCGATCTGCTATTTAAATGTAAAATATCTTCCATCAAATTAAAACTTATCTCGCAGACACACACACACACACACACACATATATATATATATATATATATATATATATATATATATATTTATATATATATATATATATATATATATATATACAGACTTCTTTTTAGTGTTGGAGGGTATCCCCTCCTTCACAATTAAGTATACGTAGACGTCTATTTCAGCCTGCTTTTTTTTTGCATTTGCTTCCATAGCCTTTGTCCAACCAAGAACAAACTACAAGGTAGTAGTTGTTTGATTTTGGAGTTGTCTCTTCTAGAAGAGTGGCTGTCCCCAGATAACGAGCCTCATCTGCCCGAGGGTTCAGCGAGATACTTTTCGGGCTATCAACCATGAGCTTTACCGACTCAACCTCACCGACCACTTAAATATACAGACCGAATTGCGAAATTTTTTTTTTCTGGTTCAAGGAAGCGAGAGTTATTTAGATTTTTCTTTACTTTGTATACAAGAAAGTAGAAGTCAATTATGTATATTATTATGTTTACGTTGATTTTGCCTTTAAAATAAATGTGTAGGAATAATATATTAACTACAAATTCGTACTCACGTCCTCTATTATACAGCACGTATCTGTTGACATCACGTGGTTGATTAAATAAGACCGTCCAAGTGCTATTGGGCGTGTTGAATGTGTGAGAACACGAGTTTTGACCGTTGAAGTCACCACTTGGGTTTCCATCCACAGCTCTTGAAGAGTCGTAGACTACCCCAGCTTCGCTGTAGTCAGACGACTGGGTTGTTGGTTGTTTTAGTGCCACGTTCCGTCCTTCGGAAATCGTAATTTAAAATTAGCAAATCTGTATAAGATTGCTTCCAGTAAAAGTATAGTTACGATTATGTTAAAATCAACGTTTCTTTCAGACTTTTTCTCCCGAGGTGTTGGGGAGGAACACTGAAACTTTCGGGGGGAGAGGATTTTCATAGGTGTGGGGGAGTGAGGTCGGACACTAGTGAAAGTATATATTTTCTTTTATAAATCCTATTTCGTTTTCATTGGAAGAGGTGCCTGAAAGAAACACTGGTTAAAATGTATACAAAGATGTCGTGAATAATGAGTAAAATATTTGTGAATCTTGCAGAAGCCTTAATTATGTGTGTACTTTACTCTATTTAAATAATTCTTACCGCCATCAATATAAACTGAACAGAGAGCAACTGTTTCTCTAAAGTCAAGATACACTTGAACAACGGTAACATCCAGATGACATAAGATGTCGGTGACCGTCTCGCTGATACGTAGCATGGCTTTGTCAGTGCAAGTTATAATCTTATTAGCGTTGTCCATGAAGGTAATGTTTAGCAACTTTAATGACCCTAAATAATAAAAAAAAAATCTAATCATACATTATTTGGAATTAAGTGTCTTTATTAACCAACTGAATCTATATGTGAAGATACATTTTGCGACTGCTGATTTTAATTATCGAGGTTCTAAAAGTAAAGTTCTCTTTTTAAACCTAACGGTCCACGTAGCAAGTGAAGAAGAGTTCACATGTTTCTGTGACTTGGACATATGATTGGATAATGTGGTCAGCACTATGACCAGCCACTTTTACTTTCCTAATGTGTGTTAAGTACCCATACGAGCTGGGTGGACTCAGGGACTGACTTCAACTCGCATTCGAACTCGGGCCTTTGGGTTAGTATTCTAGCGCCAGCTAGGCCAATCAAGGAAATAGGTGCAACATCATGAATCAACAACGGTTTTGTCATTAAGCAGTTTTGATAGAATTAAGATTATGTGTGACATTACAACTGATTAAAGTTAGAAGTAACGTGCACCATTGATTATTTTAGCAATTGCTTGATATCTTTTTATTAATATAAGTCACGAAAGTCTAAGACAAAAACTACATTTTCAAAAATTTAAATCGATGATAATTTTATATAATATAATTACAATATTTAATTAACACAATTCTCAACCACGTGATACGATACGCAAATGGCCACGTGATCGTGGTTTTCTCTAGCTGGATACATGTCGTGTCGTCACCATCAGAGATAGCAATTTCAGGTGGCGTGATTGTAGTGTCTCTGCCGGTCAGGTCCTCTGTAAATATAAGCTAGCACGTGAAGCATTTATATATATATATATATATATATATATATATATATATATATATATATATATATATATAGAGAGAGAGAGAGAGAGAGAGAGAGACAGACAGATTTATCTATTTAAAATTAACTTTCAACTTTCAAATTATAATTTCCATTGTTTGTGACGTCAATATCTTGTATTTTAAAAAGTACTTTCTTTGAAATGAATTTAAGTTTTGTTTTTTACTTTTTTTCGTACCCTTTAAAAGCTTTTTGTAAATTATTGTTGCTTAATGTACGTAATGTTGCACTAGCTTCTTTTAATATGAAACAGAAAGCCCAGTTTAAAAAAAATTGCAAGATTGAGGTGAACAAAAGAATGACGTTTTCGGGGTGTGCGGTATTTGCTTGAGATGTTGCATGTTTATGTTTATGTTAATTAAAGCGTGATATCACTTATGAACGACCATTTAGATATATTTATAGTACCTTATTTTTCGGGTAGTAACATTACATTATAATTAAGGAATGACATTTTATAGATGTGGAAAGGATCACCCTTAATTTTCCGGTGCAGCTTTGGGTATTGATTCTTTTTCTGTTATGACCCGGGTTTTTTTTAGCTAAGTTTAGGATTTTTTCGACTAGTTCAGAGGTTGTTGCTGATTTTTTTCTATAGTTTAAGATACCCCGGGACGACAAAGTCCCGAACAAGGAAATACGACGAAGGACTGGTTTAAACGGCATTGATTCAGAAGTTAGAATGAGGAGATGGAGATGGCTGGGCCATGTCCTACGCATGAGCAAAAGAAGGCTCCCCAACATAGCGCTGAAGTGAACTCCGCTTGGAAAGCGATAGAGAGGAAGACCACTGAGAACATGGAGAAGATAGATAGAAGAAGAAATGCAAGCTACTGGCAAGAACTAAAGTGGCTTGCCCAAGACAGAGTGGAATGGCGGAGATGTGTTGCTGCAGGGAGTGATGAGAATTAAGTAAGTAAGTAAGATCCCCCGGAGCGCGGGGTTGACACAGAAAGCACAAACATGTAGGCTACCCTCAGGTTATTTATTATAATAATCCTTTAGACAAAAGATTACACAATTAAACAGTTAAAGACAGCGGTAAACTTAGTATCAACTAGCCTACCCGTTTTCTAGTTAGATAACTATGGGTTTTGGGGGTCATCCATAAATGACATCACGTCTGTCACTTATCATCAAAAAATAACCAGACCTCACATTCAAAAAGAAGTAAATTGAAAAAAAAAATTAACCCGTGCCACCCGCATGGAAGCCAATTACACTATCATATTAGCTATCTAGGCTCGTGACATCATGACACTTTTTGTGGTTCATATAAATAGTTTTACTCTGTTTATGAAACTTGATTTACGCGAATTGGCCTTAGATTTAGATCTAGTATCTTTCAAATTCAATTTTATCTTAAATTAGCCCATTCCATAGCTAAGCAAACAAAGATTTATATAAAATAATGAAGGTCTCAAATATTTTAGTATAGAAACCCCTTATTATCTAGATCTAGATAAAGTTATCTAGATTCTACGACTGATTTGGTTAAGCCGAGTTTTCGAAGTAACACTGGGCTAGAGTCAAGCTAGACTCTAGAACCTAGATAGATAAATCACTTGCATTCTTGAATTAGATGATCCGTGAAGCTAAAAAGCAAAGATTTATATCAAATATTTATGCACTAAAATAGTTTATTAAAGAAACTCAATAATGTATTCTGATTTAAAAAGGCTTTTTAATTTAAACAAATTAATTTTGGTTTGACCTAGATTCTAGATCTATAAATAACTTCCTTCGACAGCTGATATTTAGATTCTAGATCTAGATGTCTAGAATCATTTATTGTATACTTAAATAAAAAAGAACTGTTGAAAATTATTAGTGTTGGAACCTAATAAAAATATCAAACGGACATATCGTTAAAGCTCTAGTCCACAGAAAATTAGCTTTATAATGCGTTAAAATTTCGAATGAGCAGCAAAATATTTAATGGAAGCAAGCATTAATGTTTTGTAAAAAAAAAAAAAAAATCATGTGACGTCACTATTCACTATAAGTAAAGTCATTGTTCTGAACTTTAATAATTAATGTGGTTAATCTACCAATTAATAAATCAATAAATTATTAACGTCTTTAAATTAATTTGTGATTAAACAGTCTGTCTAAAAAAGAAAATTGTTCTCAACCTACATACTATTTTACAGCTCTACATATACTGCAGATTCTCTCCTGTAACCAAACGGACAAACAAAAAAGCAAACAAAAAAAACAAACAAATAACTATTTAAACATGTAAACAAACTTTAGTTTTAGTAGTATATAGGTGATTTTAAAGGGGCAACTTAATTGTGAATGGCTTATGCCAGAAATATCTTCTCGAAAATCAAATTGAATTAGAATGATGAATTGGTTGATTAATACAAAATGTAAAATGTTTAAAAAAAACTACGAAAACTTTTTAAATACTCTACGTACGTTCTATGAAAATTGTTTACACTAGATAACGAAATTTATAAAAAAATATTAATGAAATAATTTTTAGAAACATATTTAGCTTGATATATCCCACAAATGGTATGCTGTAATAGCTGTGTATGTCTAATAGTGGTTGTTGTTTTGGTGAATTATTTTGTTTCTCTCTCTGATTATGGGTGATCCTCCCCGCTCAATATTAAAACAGAGGCGTAGCGACCCTTCCCGGCGCCCGAGACAAACTTTCGATTTGCACCCCCCCCCCTCAAACTTTTGATTTCCACCCCCTCAATCCCCCCCCCCCATCGCTACGCCTCTGTATTATAAAATAACATTTGAACTTAACACATCTCCTGAAGTGCAAATAAAACTCACGGTACTGACAGCTCTGTCCAAACCATCCCCGGGCACACCGCGAGTCACCGATACATCTGCCGTTGTCGTCACATAAGTCATTTGTACAGTGACATCTGTACTGGCAGTTCAACCCAAACCAGCCGTTTGTACAAGCTGAATAATAACAATTATTATGAACATCGTGCAAGTTAGTCATTTATTGACTAAATATATTCGAATTGATATTAACATAATTTGGCTGGTTAACTATAACAGTCAAATGTTGGCAAAATTGTTGAGCCCGTATCTTAACACTGACAAAAACGTTTGAAATATTCAAACACTATATATATATATATATATATATATATATATATATATATATATATATATATATATATATATATGGAAGAGCTTTAAAGTAATTTTAAAAGCTTTCAACTTTACCTGAGGAAACAAGCGTTACTTGTATGTAGATCAAAACTACTCGAAATTTAATGATACCTGGCATGTTAGTCTCGTATTTCCAATTAGAAAATATAACAGGTGCACGGGTGTTAATGTTTAATGTATCTCTAGTCTGTGTACAATCACAAAAAAAAACATTAAAATTTAATTTTTCTAAAATATACGATCATCAAAAAATATTTGCCAGATAGATAAACATAAAAGACTTTGTAATTTACATCCTGGTTACAAAAATATGGAAACGGAATAACCTAAAGAAGTTTTTTACGTCGTATCATTGAAAGGTGTGTAATCGTTGCACTTAAATTTAGAGCTAACCGGCTGTGTGTTTGCTATTACCTGAAAAAAAATTTGAGATCTAAATTTCTAAATCAACATTTGAGCTATATAGAGAGACTCGTAGTGTGTTCTAGTGACGTCCTTTAATACGGTCCTTCTTTGAATAGAGCCATTTTTCCGTTAAGGACACCTTATTGTTACGTTGCAGCTGAACAGCGGTTTGATGGCTGTATGCACTTCTAGATTACCGTCACAAGAGGGTAGTGATTGGTGCGGAACGAACAACGTGGGACTAAGAAGATGGGAAGAGGAGGAAGGGGGCAGGGGTAGTGAAACTAACGCAAAATATATTACCAGTTCTTCTTTTTCTTCTGCGTTCTTAATTTGTAGTATTGGAAGGGTTTCCTTCAAACACAATTAAGTATACATGTGAACTTGTTATGCGCAATAAAGGTCGTTGACTCCGATTTCAGCCTGCTTTTCCTTTGGATTGGCTTCCATAGCCTTTGTCCAACCAAGAACAAACTACAAGGCAGCAGTTGTTTGATTATTTAGTTGTTTCTCAAGAAGAGTTCCTGTCCCTCATCTGCCCGAGGGTTCGAACTCGAGACTTTTCAATTTAGCAACCATGAGCTTTACCGACTCGATCACGCCGACCCCAATACCAGTTCAATTAAAGTCAATTTCCGAAAAGATGTAAGGAATTGAAACAAAGACAGAAACTGACACATTATAGAGGAAACAATGATCTATTAAAAAATTACTTAAAAATATGTTCTGTTTGAAGCTATAAAACAGAAAGTGGGTGCAGGGGGGATGGGGGATGCGGGCAAACTGAGACATTTGCAAAATGTATAGATTTACAGAGGTAAATAGTATGTTGAATAGCGTCGGTGACGTCTACTTCAAACATTAAACACCCAGCAACAGTGTAATGCCAATGCGTTTTCCAATAGAATTAATAAATGTAAGAGCTAAGTACATAGATCTGGTTCTAATTTTTAGAGGGGGGGGGCGATAAGGGAGAAAACTCAATGGTTTAATATAAAAAAGGATTCATAAAGCTACGCCTGTGCACTTCCCAATTAGGTATTTACATGGTGTAGAGAGATTTAACAGTTTCGGCTTTCCTGACAGCACTCGCCCATATTATACCTTCCTTCACAAGTGAAATCCCGGCATATAGACAGGGTTCAAGACCTGTACGCCTACATGTTAGGGTACTTGTCCCAAACATTATCCACACGCCTATTTGTCTATTGTCCAACATAGTCAGATGTAATAAAGAAAAGAGTATGTGATACTATATTGGTCAACTTGTCCATATCATCAAATCTCCAGTAGGATCGTTGGCAGAGTTTCTTACAGGCATCTCCCCCGAAAAATTCTACCGCCCCCCCCCCCCCAACGAAATGAAATTTATATAATTTATATAGAAAATATATACTATTAACAGTGCCCGCCCCCCCCCCCCCCCGAAGTAGGTCTACCGCTCCCCCCCCCCCCGAAAATTTTAAGTGTCCCCCCGGAGAAAAAAGTCTGAAAGAAACACTGATCGTTGGTCAGATTCTACTCTTCAACAGGTCGATATCTCGTCAATTCATAAGACAGAAGTGAGTATTAGTGCTCGGGTGTGCTTGTGTTTTGTGTGCGAAATAATCAAGCTTGTGATAACAGAAAAACACAATTTTAAACGATTGTATATAAAATATGCAATTTATTTTTTTATGGTACAGCGACTTTCAAACCATTGACAGGCTACATAATGCATGCTACAATTAGAAATAAAAATTACTATAGAAAAAAATCTAAATTGTATTTACAATACAATAAGAATAAGTCAGTGTACTTCAGATTATCATAACAATATTTCCTCATTTTATTAGTTTGGAAAAATCACTAGAAATTGAAGTCAACGAAATTAAAGGAGTCTTTATATTTACAAATGTATATATAAATATATATATATATATATATATATATATATATATATAATTTTAAATGTATATATTTATATAATATATACTTCTATGCATAGCTTGTGAATGAATTTTATGAATTGTAAAATGAAAAGATTGATAACACGTAGGTTGTGCGCAGTAGAAAGGTCAGTTATGGATGAAGTGGTGAAGAACACGGAATGATTTGACTAAGGATTGACGTTACTGCTTTTTTTGTTGTTGTTGATAATACTAGATCATATGAGTCACACATGTACTTTTGTGTTTCCATTTTAATGTGGTTTCTAATATGTTAGCTAGGATAGTAGATATTTTTTTAAGAGCTTAAAAGCAATGCTACTTTTGAAACGGAAGTTAATTATCACTGATTCCCACGATTAAGTTATTTGCTCTTTGAAATGTGCTGTTCAAAACGCTTATGGAAATGAATTAGGATTTTGGTTTTTTTGAATAACAAATTGTGGAGCTTAGTCATGTATTTTCAAGTGAATATTATGTCTAAATAAGTTACATTATCCAATACCTCATCTTAACGCAAAACCATGAATGTAAAATAATACGTTATTTCAATAATAAGCGTATTCATATTTTTCATTGCAGATATATCATCAATATCTATAGTTTAAAATACAGGATTTAATATAAGAATAAAGTTGTAACGGTAATGCGTATTGGACAGTGGTGTTTTTTTTAACCTCCAACATAATATATAACTTAAGAAAAAACTAACACACCCCCCGAAAATACACATAACTTGAACCACAAAACATGCACAAGCCGAATGTAATCGTTGTATATACGAAGAAAGCTAAGTTTGCCTATTAAACATACTGAAGTTGTTGAAATGTTTAAGCACAGACCTCACTATCCGTTTTCCAGTTTAGGTATGATAAACAGCTAGTAAATACACTCCATGTCACAATCTACCCAATATTCTGATCAACAGTGTGGGGCCTATTTGAGCTATTTGCGACACCAAAATGTAATTTTATTTTTTATTAAATGACTTATTTTCTTAATTTCTTTGGCCACTTCTCACGAAACGCTTGTTTTAATTTCAGTTTAAACCCAGTCATTAACTTAAGGTTTCGGTAAGATTTAGGTTAAATGGCTAGTTATAAACATGGTTAACGTTAAAGTTAGATATCTTTATCAGTTAACGTTGTTTCAATTAATCCCACGCCTCTTAAGAAGAAGAAGATTTTACTATTGTAGCATTAATGCATATTGGTAGGAACTGTACCCCTCCTCACATTCTCCACTGTAGTTTTCTTCTTTAGAGCTCGTCCCGCTATGAGCATGAGACATGAAATCAGCTCGTACTGTATATATTGGGGCTCCACTACTGCCTGTGCATGTGGCTGTTGTGTACGTGTACTTGATGTATTTGGTGCCCCCAACACGTCTTTTATTCTCCTGTGTCCATTGTCCTACAGAGATCTGCTTAGGACAGCCATGAGGATGTGACACTATAACGGTCAACTTGTCCTCTTTATCAAATTCAGCGTATTTATCCTCTGCCGAAAAACAAAGATCCTCAAAGCTAAGCCAAATTTTGTGCAGGTAATTTATCAACTGTATGTCACATGACACCAATTTAAACATACACCTGTCCGACTCACAGTCTGCCTTTGCAACCCTCCAGCCATCAAGACTGACCACTGGACTTTTATTGTCATCAAAACCTACAACACACCTGGTCTGTCTCGCCTCACTGTCATCAAACACCACGTGTGTGGCTGTCAACACACATACCTCCCCCCACACTTTGCTCGGTGTGTCCGAGTGTTGACACTTGCCACATGGACAAGTGCCCTTGTTGTCACTCTCGGTATACTTGACCACACCACACACCCTCCCCGTCCCTGTTCTCAACACTTCACTTCCTCTTGTGTTATAAAATGGATATTGACCAGGGAAGCATGGAACAGACTCTGGTCTTTCTAGACTGGTGTAATTGACCTTTATCAGGACCGTTAGGGCAGACAAAGCTTTGATTAGTTCCAACATGATGACGTCACGGTAACGTGAGGGGAGATGATCCAAGTTAAAATCATTCACAGGTATAAAGTTGACATGACCTGGATTCTTCTTACAGTCTATTAAGTGCTTGTGTAAGTCAGCTTCACCTCCATAAGCGATCTCACATTCATGATTTCCTGGAGAAGTACATGGATAATAATACATAAGTGTCATGTTACTGAAATAACATATATCATTTATTGTCTCTGCTTAAATACTGAAACAAGAAATACAAATTCAATTGAAAAACAGTCTCAAGTTTTTGTGTAATCAGCAATAATTTTTCTATAAAAATAAAGTGACGAATATGCTGGAGAAAGAAAAAAAAATGTTACAAGTTTAATATCATGTCACAGAGTACTCCTTGCTTCGCCTGTCTATAGCTGGAGAACATCTCCGTGGAGTGTTCAATATCAACCACAGATGTGTAACCACATTCGGTAGCGTCTTTGTTTGGTTACTGATAAATCTAACATACTATAGTTTTTATTAAATGGACATTTTTATTGCACGGTTTTATACGTATACTTATTCCATATAAGAAATAAGTCACTTCAGTAGAGAAAAGGTAAAAAAAATAAAGCAGCGGTTGAATAGATGAAACTAATTCCTGTAACCATTATTTCATAACAAGCAAGAATTAATCAGGAACTTTATAAAAGCTATGATAATGATATTTCTCATTGATACTTCTTTCAAAAGCAAACTCCACTCAGTCGAAATGATTTTGTGGGTACCCGGATTTGAGATGCTACGTGATCATGAATCTATAAAAATATGCTGAAAGCTTGGAAGAATTTTGTGTATAAAAATGACAAATAACTAATTTATTTTAACATAATTTTAACTGCTTTCATATCATGTATATTAATGATTTGCATCTAGCACCAGTGGCGTAGCCAGGATCGTCTCAAGGGGGGGGGGGGGTTCCAATTTTTACCCGGGGACAAACTTTCGATTTGCACTCCCCCCTCAAACTTTTGATTTGCACCACCCTCAAACTTTCGATTTGCACCCCCCCCCCCCCTCAAACTTTCGATTTGCACCCCCCCCCCTCAAACTTTTCATTTGCACCCCCCCCCCCCCTCAAACTTTCGATTTGCATCCCCCCCCAATACTTTTTATATATACCGAGGGGTCTATGGGGGGGGGGGTAATAACCCCCCCCCCTAACCCCCCCCCCCTGCCTACGCCACTGTCTAGCACTTGTATTTCACTTACCTTGCAAGTAGTAATCCATGCTCTATTTATTTCTTTAAACAGTTTGTATGTCACTGGTGGTATGAACGCATGCTTCCTTAAAAACACAATACAAGATAATCATATTAAAACAGTATTCAATGAAACAACATAAAACTACTTTACGAATAGATAAACAATATAAACGTAAATTTTAAAATACCATACCTTTGATAATAAGCGTAATTAATTTTTAGTTGTATAAGTTAAGTGTTCAACTTAGCAACAGTGTAATGTTAGTACAGGTGTTATATTTAGTGTTAGATTTCAAGCATTATTTTTAAAGCAGATTGCGAATGTAGGTAATATGCAACTTATTGAATGAATTTAAATCATTCACAACAAATTAAAAAATATATAAGAATCGGTTTTTTATTTTAAACACGTTCAGTTAGCTTTTAGCTGGTTTCGCTTTTAAGTCAACAAACACATTCACGGCGCATACAGTCAGCGCGTGCTGAATGATGTCAGCTTGGGCGGGACGTTTTCTTTACATGACCCGGCTATAGAGAGGGGGGGGGTAAGTCTCAAGTTTGTGGGTGCACCCAGTTCTGATGGGTACCTGAACATACAAGACACATATAATCTATACTTTATACTAGGTACAGTCGGGCCGAAATTGTACTTACTCTATACTCTATATCAGGGGTCTCCAAACTACGGCCCGCGGGCCGGATGCGGCCCGCGAGGTCCTCTCATCCGGCCCGCGGAGATCTTTTTGTTCACGAAAAAAAAAAGTTTTGTTGGAGGTGGCTGAGGAACTTTGCCCAGAAAAATTCAAAACAATTTGAAAATGTAACTTTGGGTGCAAATATCATTGCCCGCCGTGTTGCAGGCATTGGTGAAAACATAGTGACTCAAATAGCGAAAAATGCAAGCAAGTTTCGCTATTTTTCAATTGCAATGGATGAGTCGCTTGTGTTTATTAGAGGTGTGGATGAAGACGTAAACATAATACAAGAGCTGGCTTTTATGACACTGTTACCGGAGAGGATATATTCAATAAGTAAAAAATAACCTTTGCTGATTATAACTTGGACTGGACTAACCTCAGTTACCTGACTCTTAATGGAGAAAAGTGGCATAAAGAAAGGCTTGGCTGGACAAGCGGAGCAGATGTGTAATGAGAAAAACATTCTACAACCTATGTTCCTGCACTGTATTATTTATTTACCAGCAAGCTTTGTGTGCTTAATATGTGGACATACGAAGTGTAGTGAATCATCTGTTGAAGATGGTGAGAGTTCAGAGACATGTTGAAAGATAAAAACACAGAATTGCAAAATTTACCAGTAAGATGACTAAGTTGTGAGAAAGCTCTGAGCAGCGTATTAACTACAAGAGAGGGAAATCTAGTTTCTGATCTATACATCCACCCAAAGGCCTTCTGATCCAAACTTGTCATGTTTTCGGAACAAGTACAGGCCAACAACTGGACGCACTTTCAACAGTGCAAGGTCTTCATAGCTAAAGCAACAACTGTCCCCCCAAGTCATGCAAGATCATCACAGACCTCCAAGCCCCAGTTTTAGTGGCGGTTTCCTGACTTGGATTCAAAGGCAGAAGAAGTGAGACAGTTTTAAAACCCATTTGAAGCAAATGTGGCCAGTTGCCCATATGAACTGCAGCTGGAGGTCATTGAATTGCAAGCAAATGACCTCCTTAGAGACTAGTTCAAAGAAGGAAGGTGGGTTTTTTTAAACGTTTTTGTTCAAGGAAGACTTTCCTAAAAAATTTGCATCAAAGTACCTCTCAAATTTTGGAACAACATACCTGTGTGAACGTACATTTTCAAGAATGAAATACGTGAAGAACAATTTGAGAACAAACTTGGACCTGGAGTGTTTTGTCGGCCCCCGAGAGTGTTTCTTTCAGACTTTTTTCTCCGGGGAGAGGGGGTGGACGACGACACTTGAAATTTGTATATATTTCTATATAAATTATATTTCGTGGGTGGGGGGGGGGGTAAGGGGGTGGTAGCCATTTTGGGGGGGGGGGGGGGGTAGCCATTCTTCGGTGGCGGGGGGGGGGTGTGACCTACTTAGGTCGAGTCAGGTTCCATTTTTATTTTGACATTGTATAATACCTTGTGACCTACTTAGGTCGAGTCATTTTTATTTTGACATTGTATAATTCCTTATATGGAATGATTGTGTAACTCCTGGGGTTTTTCCACTGTCGTATTAAGGTGTCTAAGACGTAGAAATTTTCCATTAAGATCTGATTGAATGATTCTGATCATATGACCCTCCCAACCAATGGCTACATGAGTTGAGGATGACCTCCCCTGTGGCAGAAGTCTTTAACTGCACCGCACACTCGTCACACGTGGCAGTTTACTTTGGTCAGGCCGTCTACCTTGATCAGTCTATTAAGACCATTGCCGTCCATATTGTCCGGCAATAGATTCTGACCATTTGAACGTAAGAGAACTTAAGTCCTGTGTGTGCTATGCTTTCTTAAGTGAATTTAGTCTTCTAGTATAATATTACTTGTCGCCAAGTAATTCTTGAAGCTATAGCAGTGTTGTGTGGCCTGTGGCTATTTTAGACAGTGTAGAAATCTGTGATAGTGTTTTTACTTACATTTTGTAAGTTGGGTTTTGATATTTTATACATTAAATATTTTATCTGGTTTAACCTTGTGTTCTGCCACAACTGTGTTCGCTTATTAAAGGTTGTATGCAGATTGGGTGAGTGTTAATTACAATAGCATCACTAGTTTTCCCTAGACGTCGAATTCGAGCCCTAGTGTGTTGTTGTGTTAGTGTTCATCCACTTAGGCTGTAAGGCATTTGCATATAACCCCGAAAAAAGAATCCGGGGACGTTCACCTTCCATCTGGCTGATAGATAGGTAACGTTACAGGGGCTCTACCACCCCGAAAAGATGCCTGGGAAAAACTCTGGCCCCCGAACTGATTTTTGAAAGTTAATGCGGCCCTCGGGCTGAAAAGTTTGGAGACCCCTGCTCTATATAGAAGAGTAAAGAAAAGTATAAATGTTTTAAGAAACAAATCACCCACTTATTTAAAAATAATTTTTCTTTCTTTTATAATGCATTAAATAGAATGTCGTTATAAAGCTGTTTGTTTTAGAATAAATTTAAAAAACTAGTTTCGCTCACGTGAATAATGCCGAAATTCTATTTTTAGCAGTTTTGAAAGAATAAGGAAATAGTAAAATCTTTGCATTATGTCATCTGGGGAATTTCACGCTTTTCTTAAAAAAGTGAAAACGATAATTATTTAAAATAAACCGGGAGTAATCTCCCCTAAACTTTCTCGAATATTCTTATATAAAACAACAGGGGATGGGAACTCGGGATATAGACATGAATTTTAATCCATTTTAAATAGGCCTACTTAAACTTTTTAAAAGTAGAATAAAATCTTGTAGAATAAACCGGGAGGGATCTCCCCTAAACTTTCTCGAATATTCTTATATACCTTGTAATATAGACATGATTTTTAATTACTTAAACTTTTAAAAATAGAATAGAATCTCATAGAAAAAAGAATTGTGCACCAAGCGAACGCCAAAACAAAATGTGCATAATAGTGCGCAATATGATTAGTACTTTACATTTAAATTTACATGCGTTTCGGAAAACTAGTACTTTCGGTCAACGGAAATTGTTAAAAATTTGATAGAAGGTAGAGAATTAGATCTTTTACTTACATGTGAAATTTCATTTATTTATCTGAAATAGTACTCAAGTTATAGGCTTTTGAAAAATTCAAAGTAGAAAAAGTACCACTTCCTGTTATCGGAAATCGCTCGAAAGTTGATACCGATCTACGATTTTGATAAAATACTTATATATGAAATTTCATCAACCTAGCTGTAACGGTACTCAAGTTATCGTGTTAACACACAGACAGACAGACACACAGACACACAGACATACGGACAATATTGCAAAATTTTGTTTTTCCGTATCAGTGAGGTGTAAAACGTCGAGATTAGTAAAAATCTCGATTTTTTTTTTGCACGATTACAACATTTCTCTATACTTCGTATATACGAGAAAGTAAAAAAGAGTTGCACACCAAGTGAACGCCAAATAAAATGTGTCTAAAGGTAAACATACTAAACATTAGTAAAGGTATCCAATAGATGCTAAAGTGACCCTCGCTTTTCTTTATAGTTATTTAAATAGTAGTGTATAATTTATTTTCTACTTTTTAGTGCATTAGTACATAAAAGCTTGTTATTAAAACGCTTTTTATGGGAAAAAAATATTTAATTTTTTTAGTTTTACAATATTATTTGCTATTTTTAGGATTAAAAAATCCCACGACCAAACTTTATTCCTCCATTAGAATACATTGAATGCGTGTGTGTAAGTCCACGATGCTAGGAGTATTGAATGTAGTAATCATTAATAATTTTTAATTAATTAAAATTATTGTTGCCCCATCCTTATGTCACGCTGACTGCCTTAATTAATCATAGTGTCAAGTTTGAAAAAAATATGTTTTGTTGATAAAGGTGAAATTACTGAAGAAGGAGAAAAATTGACGTGATATAAAAGTTTTTTCAAATATGCGCCTGCAAACATTTAGCCGTGAATCTTTCAATGCTGTGTTAGGTGACTAATTTATCTCAACAAGAGGCAGGCCTAGTTTGAACACGATCGTAGAAGTCAAAGTTTAGTGGAGACTTTACCTTCTCACTTCCTCCGAACAACACTATCATAGCTTATTCCTCTTTTCTTCGCCCTGGTAGTGTTTCCCAGTCTTCACGGACATACACCAAAACTTGTTTACAGCTTTTTCCCTGTCATTGTGTCTGCGGTTTCGTGTCGGTTTTCATTCGTCCTCCATACCACTCCGCAACATACTTCTTGTCACTACACGTAATTGCTTTCATTTTAAACTAGTTCAATACGTATAACATCAACATACACATCAACATACACATAAACATACACATCAACATACACATCAACACACACATCAACATACACATCAACATACACATCAACATACACATCAACA